TGCCAGAAGTGCACAGTATGAGGAAACAATAGACAAATGTTGAGGGACAGTCTACAAAATATCTGGCTTATATGCTGCAAAAATATTAATATCATAAAATATAAAGACAGACTCAGGAATGGTTCCAATCTAAAAGGATTGGAACTGAAAAAAAGGATTATCTGAGATTTTCTTTTGCTCTAAAAGATGTTTTCAGGACGACTGGTCATACATGAATAAGGTTCACGCAACAGATATGTTAACTTGGATAACTGTAATGTGGTTATGCAATGAGGATTCCTTGGTTTTAGTAAATATACAACGAAGTATTTAGGGGCAAAGGGGCATCATGCCTGCAACTTAAACAGTTCAGAAAAATGTGTGTGTGTTTATGTATATAGATAGAAAGAGAAAGATAATGCAAATTTAGCAAAATGTTAATATTAGAAAATATGAAAAAAAAATTTGGAAGTTCTTAGTATTTTTCTTGCAAATTTTCTGTGAATTCTGAAATCATACTTACTAGTGCCATCACCTCACCCTCTTCCCCCAAAGACAAGACAGTAAAAAGTGAACTGAAGCTTAATCCAAATGAATTGCATATATCAAAACCAGAGGAGGCTTAGTCAAAGCTTAAATCCCTGGCTCAATTCTAGAAGTTCAGAGTGGAAACTTAAAAAGTATTGTAGGTATGAATGAATGCTATGTGTTTTAAATCTTATTTAATATGAATAACAAACAATCATATGTATGTTACCTGTTAAATATTTGCAGTTACCACTAATTTCAAACTCAAAATCTTACTTTAGGAGAGTTGAATGAAGTGAAAACTTATGGTTTTGACATTTAATAAATGAGTAACAAAACGCTTTTCCCAATTTTCTAGTGTCTTGGAAACTGAATTACATCCACTAAGTAGATACTTGCTGATTCTAGAAAATTCAAATTTAAAGTACTTTACAACTCTTGCCTGATTTACCTTATAAGGTCCTTGTGAAGTATTGGGATAATTTTGTAGTCACTATGACATAGATATAGGAAAACACAGTAAGTTGGTAGAAGGTCCTGAGGCAAAATCTGGGGCTTACATCTGGTGTTTCAGATTAAACTAAGTTCTAAGAGAAACATGAATTAAAGAATTACAACAAACTGTGTACATTCAGATATTTTGGCTACCTTATAATCCTGGGTGACACTATTTTTTTGCTTAAATAAACAAATAAAATGAACATTAAATAACTATGAATAAATACAGTCTAAAAAGAGTTTGTACAAACCCTACTTTTCTTATGTTGAAAATAGTCTTATAATGAAAATAGCTGATTTGTACCTTCTCATAAAGTCTTTTTTGTGATTCAAGTTCCAGATGTCTCATTTCTAGGTCTTTAACTGTAGTAGCAATTTCTTGATCTCTCATATATACCTGTGGCCAAACAACAAACTGTGAATACCCCTAAAAAATTTACAAAATAATTTTTGTTTTTAGTAGATTCAGTAATCTTATAATCTGAAAAACCCACTAAACGTATTTCAAATAACAAGTATGGGGTTTTTGAAACCAGAGTAATTGACAATATATTAACATTCACTGTGGAATCTAGGAATAATATCTGAGTTAAAGTTAAGCTTAATTTTATAAAAAATAAAGCACAATTACCATATGCTCATCTACCCAGACTAGCAGAACAGATGGCAGTTCTTACAATATTACATTCGCCAATATTATGAGTTAGAAACACTTGAGCAATTTAAATTTGTGGTGGATAAAAATACAGAATGTTAATTTTCTTAAATATAACATTTATTTAGTGTTCTTTTTGATTAAACTTCTGTACTTATATAACCTTGGTTTGGCAAGTAGTAACTCCATGTTTAACCTGTATTTGCCCTGCTTAGACTTGGTTAATTTAAAGTTCACCTTTCTGCAAAATCTGATTATTTGTAAGCTTTTCACTGCTACACACTAGAAGGTTTGGATAAAGCACTCTTTAGATAGGAAATCTTAGGAACTGTCTTAAATACTTGGCTGCTGAAAGTCCCCATTTTTTAGGAGTTAAAATAACGTGTTTCAGAAAAACAAAACAACACAAACTATAACCTACCAGACATCTGACCCCGTTCATTTATTTAGTAAATATTTAATAACAGCAATACTACTTGCATTCGTAAGGCAGAGTGTTAGATATTGTAAAGGTAAGACACATCATCAAATACCTTTAACAGGAGAAACAAAGAGTAAAAATGACAATATGGTGGGACGTGTATCCATGGAGCCAAAAAATCAACGAACTGGCAGCCAGTTCAAATTGAGAAGGTTACTGGGAAAGCAGCTAGCTCGAAGGTGGGGGGATAGTTGAGTTTATAAAGCAAGAGCAGAAATAATGCTGATAGGTGGAGAGGTCTGGCATGGCAAATGCTTTTAGGAATTTCAATTACAGAAGCTCTTTGACTTATTCCTTTTCAGGCACGCAAACAGCTATGTGCCAGAGCAAACACAGGTCACCTTTACTTGCTGCTAACAGATGTCTGCAGTCACCTGTATGTGTCACTTTGGACTCAAACAGTCTTTCCTGCTGGTGCCTGAACTGTGAGTAGAGAAACTTTTGCAGTTCAGCAGCATCAGGGCTCACTGTCAGAACAGGGGCATGGAAGAACAGGAGGCTGGAAGGGTAGGAAGAGGCCAGATCACACCACTGAAAGGATTTCATAGGATTCTTTGACCAAAAAATTACCTTCCACTCTCTCAAAGAGTTTAAAATAGAGGTTAGAGTAAATTATCAACCTAATTTACTAGATGAGAGAATTTAAAAGATCGTTAATTTAAAAAACCAATTTAAAATTAATTGGTTTCAAACAAAAAAGTATTATCTCATGCTATAAAGACACAATAGATTTCTAATACAGATGAATTAAAAATACTTAAAAAATATTTAGGATTTTACCAAAAGTTGTTTTGCAACTCTGTAAATTATTCTATAAAGTCAATGCAATCCTAATAAAAATTCCAATAGGATGGAGGGCAGATGGGAATTCAGAGAAAAAGTGATAAAATTGTCAAAGTCTATTTGAAATGATGAACATTTGAAAATACAGAAGGAAACTCTGAAGAGGCAGACTAATAGTGGCAATTAGGCCTACTAGTTAACAAATATTACAAAGCTGTCACTTGAACAGTGTGCTTAGGAATAGACAAAGCAATGGCTACTCTTATACACTTAAAACACCTTAAGTGGGTTCTTATTTGGAGGACGATCTGGCATACCTTGGGATTTAGTCAACAAAGGTATGTGTGCAAATACTCAAAGATTTGTACTGAGACTGTACAACCCAGCACCGTTTTGTATGGCAAAACACGGTAAGCAACGTAGATGTCCAACAGGGAAGGATTAGCTAAATAAACTATGACAATTCATACAATGGGGTACTACACAAACGTATATAACTATTTTTTAAAATAGTTTATCTTTTGGAATGAAATAAGGAAAGAGTAAAGAAGGTCCATTTTTAACTCCATATTATTTTATAATGGAAAAATTTTTATGCTGGCCATGTATAAACTGTTATATTAAAGAAGAGTATTTCCCCACCTCACAATTTACTAAGTGGTTAATTAATACTTCTATTATTAGAGAAATAGTCACCAGGGACACTAGTCAATTTGACTAATTTTCCTGACATTTCTAAAATATTTAACCATTAATGAAATACAAAAGAAAGTGAGAAAAGCTGAAGGAAAAAATAAAATTAAAAGGGCTATTATTTAGCATTCATTGTGAACTCCAGGAGTAAGTAATATCTAACTTGAAGGTGTTAGTTACATTTAAATGAGAATAAGTGGAGATAATATACGAGTACTAAGAATAATAAACCTTTCTCTCAATTTCATCATCCAGTCTTCTTAGTTCCATTTCACGTCGATCTTGCTGAAACTTCAGAAAACGCCTTCTTGCAGCATCTTGTAAGTGTATTTCCTTTACTTTCAGCTCCCTTTTGACAGCAGCTAGTCTTAAATACAAAATACATCAAGAGGAACAAATAAAAACACTGCCCGATATAGATTTAAATGGAAAAATATGTTTCGCAACAATAAAAGGCCTGCCGATCTATTTTGGTCTACCTTCCCAATTTAATGAGTGCCGTTGTAATAAAACTGTATTTATACTATATAAATAAAGATGCCCAATTACAAAATAAGTCTACATTTATAAAAATGACAAGTGGTCCACATGCAATTGGCTCTCCTTTTCATATTGAAAAGTTCTTAACAGGTCCACTACTCAGACCATCTCGATACAATTGATATCCTTTACCTGAATGAAGAACGCCAAAAAAAATGCTCCAATGTTACCAAAGATTACGTATGCTTATTCTCTTAGAATTTTAGTAAAAGGCTAGTGGGTCAGTTCAGTAATTCACTTTAACCTACATCAGAAATGTTTCAGAAAGTACTACTCAAACATAAGAATCAATAAACACGTATAGAAGAAGTGAGTTTACCAACAATTAGGCTCGTCTCAACGCTCATCTCTTAATCTTAATTAATTTACACATTTTACCTTATTAACTTACTTTTGAAAAAGCATTTAATACTTCTTCCCCTGTCCTCCAAAGTATAAAATGCATAATGAGATAACCGTTTTATGCTTCAATTTTCAGGTCACACAGATATGTTTAAAATACAATTTCAAAGTGATTTATTCAGCACTATATTACAAAGCATTTTGCCCGCTGTAGAATGATGTTTCTAATAATGTCCTCCAGAGTGCCTTAGATCTTGTATTACTTCTGAATAATCAGTGCACAGTTATATCATGTTCGGGACAGCTTTAGAATTACATTTTACTATATTCCAATTTTTTGAAAAGTTGTATGTACACAGATTTCTTTTTAATAACTTACATATTTGCTTACTGGAAATACCGCAGCTGAGTAAATACTACATACAGTTTTGTTCCTATAATGAAAATTCAAAGAAAATAAAAATTCAACTAACTCACAGGTCCAGACTTTTTCAGACTAAAACATACCTCTGTCTTTGCTGTATGACCCTCGCTTCCTCTTGTAAGAGCATTTCTCTCCTCGTTTCTTCAGCTTTCTGAAGCAGTTCTTGTTTTTGAATCCAAGCTTCATCTTCAACTTTTTGCTGGTCTACTTCGGCTTGCATAGACTCAACTGTCTGCCTTAAGTAGATACTATTTATTATTATATGACAATGCAAACAAGAAAATGAGTAATTTAAATCCGAGAATAACCAAAGCACAAAATGTATACCCGATTAATAGAATCGTTTTACTTTTTTATGTGAGAATTATATATCTTTAAAGATATTTTCAGCCTTTGAATTCTGATTTTACACAAATACTTAACATGTATTTTTCATAAACAAATTTATTTATATTTATAACGGATTGTTTCTATTGTAGAACTATTCCATGATTACCTCTCTCTCAAGTAATCCAATTCATCATTCCTTATTCTTTCTCGTTCCTGTGTCTGATAGTCCACAATAAACTTTGGATATTGGTTAAATACTGGATATTGTCCTTTTGTCAGTGATACAAAAACATCGAGCATGCTGTCCGGATGAATATCAGAAGGCGTGGTATCCATGAGATGATAAACTTCTCGAATTACAACACTTATATCCAGGTTATTCCGATGGTGAAAAAAATACTGAAAGAAAATTTTGTGTTTAAATCAAGATTTACCTAACAAAGCAAGTTAAGATAGAATTAAAACAGGAGTTTGAAAATGTAAATGTGAATTTATCTTCAAGAGGATTTTTTTTTCAAATTCACTGAAGTTTTTCTTAACCCGAATTTTAAAATGATTCAATTTCATATTGTCAAAATGTAAAAAAATTTCACAACCTTATTATAAACTTTTGAAATAATACTTTTTAAATTTTAACTCGAGATGAAGGCTTCACGTATAATAGGAGAAGAATGGAACAAAATCTTCTACCTGGATTTTTTACCTTCAAAATCTGAAATAAATTCGAAAATAAATTAGCCTTCGAAGATAAATTAGTTTGATTTTAAAAAATATCTGAAATGTGTCCATGTTTTCTTGTTCTATGTGTGTATCTTGTGAACATGAAGAATAAATAAAGTTTAATTTGACAGGAACCACAAAGTAAGTAACAAACAAAAAATACCCAACTTAAGTCATCCTACCAAAAGCATCTCTCCGTTTAAAAGCCGCCCCTAAGGCTTGCCTCAGTCACTTTCCTGCCAAATCTCAAAATTCTCCTAGTTACCATTCTGCATATGGATAAGCACCCTGATGATCACAGACCAGATGGGTCACCGATAAGATCAGGCACGGAATAAACAACTACCAACTGTTAAACATTCTTTATATAGGCAAAAAGCACAAAACTCCAATATTATGATTCTTTTCTGAAGCTATGATTTTAAGATTAACAGTCTGCTGTAACTGCCTATTACACTGTCTACCGAGGAAGGCGCAAATGTGGTACCACTTGCTCGCCACTATCTTCCTATGTCCTAGCACCTGTACCTCACGTACGATAGGTACTCACCAAGTAAATGAACCTTTCAACTGAACTAAATGACATTTGAGAACCATTACCTAAGAACAAGGCAGCTTACCTCAAAATCATCTTTAAAGTTACAGTTGAGCAGAGGAGCCCGAGAACATACGTTGTAGGCTACAACGGTCATCAGGAGGAACGAAGGATGGTTGGAAAAGACATTGTCGAATAATTTTAGCCACTCCTCCCTTGTCAGCACTTCTGAGAACACAGTTTCAAGAAGAGGCCACGCATACAGCTGAAATAAAGAAGAAAAAAGTTATTAGTTTTCTAGGGAAAAATTGTAACAGCCGTCACTAATACTGTCTTGCGTTTGGTTTAGCTTAATATTAAAACCATTATATTAAAAACGTAATTATGAAAAGAACTACCTTAATTTGGACCCTTCTTTATAGACTTTCAGGAAAGCGGTTTAATGAGGAAAAAGAATGAAATATTGTTAAAAACACAATCGCAGTATTTTTTTATTAGAGTCTTTCAAGAAAATCTTGTTTGTTTCTATCAGAACCGATGTTAGCTTCCAAAATAAGTCATGCTATTCTAAAAACCTGATACTTCTTACCTGGGAAGTTATATCATGATCTATGAAGTGCTGTAGCAGTTCCTTGTCGTGAAATGCCAAAACATTTTCTATCATACTAAGAATATTGATAGGAGGATTAGGAAAGTATTCAAACCAGTGTTGACACCAATTGACTACGAAGAAAAAAACGGAAAATTTACCTTTACCTTTCTGTATTATCAAAGGACTTTGCAATTCTTAAATGCATCCACAATTCATGTCCTGCATGTGCCCATTAATCAAGAAAAAACATGATAACTCTTTAAATTCTAGATAACCCTTTAAAATTCCATCATGTTCATACAGTATCTTAGGTTAATAGAAACTTGCCGATTTCTTCAGAGCAGTCAACAAGAAACAAACAAACGATTAAACAAACCTTCCTGAAGCATTCCTGATTCCGGAAACAGGGCATTTTGTTGTTGTTGTTGTTTTCCTTTTAAAACTCTTAGTGTTATGGGGAGGGCAAACTAGTACAACCCTTTTGGAGAATCAATTAGATTATTCATATTTTATGACCTAATAATACCAATTCTGGAAATCGATGCAAAAGAAATCATTATAAATATTTGCATGAGAAGATAGTTATAATATTGTTACTTTTAATAGGTAAAAATTAGAGACAACCTAAATGTCCAATAGATTACACTACTGCATGCACATTATGGAATATTACAGTCAATAAAATGTTTACAAAGTTTATAAAAATAAAGGAAATGTATATAGCATATTAAGTAATAGTACGATTACAAAAATAAAAAATAGCTTAAAGTGTGAAAAAATTAGGAAAAAACTCAGAAGTCTGGCAGTTGGTGACTAACTTATTGTACACATATAAGATGAAATATTACATTATGCAGGCAATAAATTATGTTTTTCAAGAATATTTAATGATTTAGGGGAAATGCTCTTATACGAAATTCACTAATATATTATCAAAGATTTTCTCTGGGGAAAAGAAATACCGATAAATTTTCTTTTTGGGGGGTATATTCTCCTATATTTTCTCCAATCATCAGTAAAAATTTACCAAAGCAAATACTGTGTAATAAAATAAACAAAAAAGTGTAAAGAGAAAAAAAATATTCACAATATGCATGCTTGGATCTTTTTATTTCCATTTTTCAGAATTTTATTGTTACAGTCAAGTGCTTGTCTCCTTCCTCCTTTGTACAAGAAAAACACTTTAAGTAATTTAAAAATACGTATAAAATCGGTTATTTTTGTTAATCCAATCTATAATTTGAATCCAGTTTATTAACTGTTTAACTGACTTGATTTTACTAACATGAAAAAAATGACTCACATTTCAGCATAAAGGATGATGCTGACAATAAACACAATGGCTGGGGAATACGGGTTAGAGTCTGCCTGGGTCAAATCCTTGTTCTGCAATTAAGCTCACCTTGGAAACGTAAGCTCTCTGTAACTCAGTTTCCTCATCTATAAAAAGGGGTTAGTGATAACATCTACCTCCTAGGATTGTCGTAAGGGTTAAATGAATTAATAAAGGCAAAACACTAAGAATGGTACCTGGCACATAGAAAGTTCTCAGTAAATGTTAGCTGTGGGTATGAGAATGAGGACAGCAGCCAGCACTCGCCACGATAGGTAGGCGCTGTATGCTAAATGCTTTAAGTACTCACTACGATCCTACGAATAATAACTGACTTTCAGTAAGTAAAGCATCTGCTTCCTTCTTACTATCAAAATCCAGCCTGTAACAGTATCTTCTAAAATGCAACTCTCCAAATTTTCTTGTAAATAAAAAGGTTTACGTGTAAATGTTCAAACTCTGTTTTATGCTCTATATCTGATTGTTTTGCACCAGAATTGTTAAATGTCGCAAGGCTACAAAGACAGTAGGAAAATATATAAGAACGAACTCTTGGTTACATCACTTAATGCTTATTTACTTACTTATGAGAGTAGCGACGACTTCAAAACAGATGAGTTGGTTGTTCTGGAATAATTTTACAAAAGGAAAGGCTAAGAGCGGAAGATATGGTGTGTCACTAAAGATGGCAGACCAGTGAGCTAATGCAGATAGGGTTCTGCAAATAAAATAAGGAAATAAAGACGGGAAAACAGTTTATTATTAAAACTTATCTGAATAAACGATATATTCACATGAAAAAAAATTCAACGTAGAAGGTATATTTGATGAAAATTCTACCTTCTAGACCTATCGTCATATTGGTCTCTTCTGGTTTTGTCATGCTTAGAAGAAATATGTCATGCATTACTCTGGAATTATAATTCTCCTACATTTATTTCTAATATTTTTAAGGTTTCCTTTTTTGTTTTTAAACTTTTTGTTTTGAAATAATTTTAAGCTTACAAAAGTAGAGAATTCTCAACAATAGTAGAGAGTTCCTCTATACCTTTCGCTCAAATTGCTCGCATGTTAACATCTTGGATAAATGCAGTACAATTATCAACACTAAGAAATTAACATCAGTACAAGGCTATTAACTAAATTACAGACTTCATTCAGATTTTACCATGTTTTTCACTAACATCATTTTTATGCATGTCATTTTTTTTCATTTCACCAATCCAGGATGCAACACAGCATTTATCTGTTATACCATCACAGTTTCTTCCACGAGAGTTCCTCAGTCTCTTATCTTTTATGACATTGACATTTTTGAGGAATACCACATAGTTATTTTATAGATTGTCCCTCAGTCTGGGTTTGTCTGATGTTTTCGCATGATTAGACTGAGGTAATAAATCTTTGGCAAGAATACCACAACAGTGATATGCGACATACTGATGTTTTATCACTGGTGATTTTAAATTTGAGCTCTTGGTTAAGGTACTATCTGCTGAGTTTATCCACTATAAAATTACTATTTTCTCATTTGTTTATGATAAATATTTTGGGGGAGATACGCATTGCTGCAAAATACCGAACATACCTCTGTAACACTCTGAGTAGTTTCCTACTTTTGATGGGGTATTTCTTCTGAAGGTTGAGAAATGCCACATGAATACCCTTATCTATTAGGCTACTAAATGCAGTATGATTTTCAGGCAGTTGTAGCAGAGAGCGCCAGATGAACATTCTGAAATGAAAATATAATTTTAACCAAGAAAAATGTGGGAAGTCAAACTGATTTAAAGTCTACGGCCATGCCACCCTGAAAAGGCCTGATTCCGTCTGATCCCGGAAGCTGAGCAGTGTCGGGCCTGGTTAGTACTTGGATGAGAGACCACCTAGGAAGACCAGGTGCTGCAGGCGTGAAAAATGAAAAAATAAAAAATAAAAGATTGTAAGCTGACAAGGTCCTTGCAATCTGTGAGGTCAACCAAGGGTTGCCATGCCTAAAAACAAACAAACAAACTGATTTAACATGAACAAATTTAAATTATACCTGTATTTTGTTGGATATTCACCATAACCTTTTAATAAGATTTGTAAACGCTTTTTGTTTAAGCCATCTGACAATTCATTCTGTAAAGAAAAAAATACCAGTAAGTGACATAATCATAAAACTGAAAAGGTGCAGCGGCTTTCCAACTGCAGAGCGCAACACAATAAGAAATATTTTTACATCTTTGGTGTGTCCCCCCCCCGACCCCCCAGATTTATTCAAATGTAATTCTGCTATTAGTATCTTATGGGGTTTTAAAAATGAATACACGGATACTCATATTCTGCTTAAATCAAACTGACATCCAAGCATGTAGTTCTTGTAGTTTGCTTTTTATGTTTAACATACTATAATTATTTCCCTTTTCTCTTAAATGTTCCTATATTTCTAGTATATAGTTCTACCATATGTATATGATTAGTTACCTACTATTGGACATTTTGGTTGTTTCTAAGTTTTTCTTGAGTGAATCTCTCTTTCTCTTACACACACACATGATAACAGATCATCTCGAACAATGCAAAAAGGCCAATTGGTACAATTGGTACTCTTTTTGAAGAATAATGTGGCTACTACTATCAAAGTTTTTATGCACACACACTCGCTTAAAAATTCTACTTCTATAGATACACTTGTGCAGATGTCCAAAGGTAATTGCACAAGGATATCCACCGCATCATACTTAACGACATAACCTAAATGCCGGTCAGCACAGTACTAGTTAGATAAATGAAGGTATACGCAGAAATGCAATACTATGCAAATAAATATTTTTCAAATGTTGTAGCACTATATGTGCTAATATAAACAGATATTCAATCTCTTATGTGATAAAAGCAAAATATAGAACAGTGCTAAAGTATGGTTACTTTGATGTAGATATACACATTTATATAAGCACAGAAAACTTCTAAAAGGATATCAACAACAGCTAACAACGGTTACCTCTGGGGAGTGAGAGAAAGGGTAGGCCAGGGAACAGGAAGGAAGAAACGTATGCTTTTATTTTTCCCCTTTATAACCTCCTACACCAGCACCGTCTAAACAGATAACGTAAGCCACAAATGACGGCTTCTAATGATAATCGACATAAAATTATTAATTAATAAGATAGCTTACATTGTGTCATACTAAGTTTTCAATATCTGATGTGCATTTCACAGATGCAGTACATCTCAATGCAGACCAGCCATGTCTCAAGTACTCATCAGCCACGTGGGGCTAGTGGCTAGCATACTGGATAGTGCAATTCTATCCTGTTTTGACTTTCAAAAAACCATAAACATGTATTAATTTTGTATTATAAAGTTTAAAAGGGATATTATAATTTCAGTTACAACTTTCTTCTCTTCCTATAACTTTCCTCTAATTCCTAAGAGAGGGAAGAGTGATGATGGCCTAGAAAGCATGAGACTTATTTACAGCAGTCACGACAAACAAGTTTAATTATAACATATTCTTACCTCTTTATTGTCAACCTTGCCAGTCAGGTCTTGTTTTAATATTCTAGTTTGTATTTGGTTTTCCCTGGATTTTGCTGGCCGTTGTACTCTTCCCGATGTTACTTTCATCTTAAGATCACCAGAAGTCAGTTTACTCTTAGGCAAATCTTCAATCACTTTCACTAAAGGAGGAGGTGGCTGAACGAAAAAAAAAAAAAAATCCAGTGGCTATCCTTGGAAAATAGACCTGTTAACATATGATTTCCAAAATTTGTTTTGGTCAACATAATAATGTGTCTTAATATATTAATCTTCAGGCTAAAAAGTAAATAAAATATCCAGTGTTTCCTGTTGTCTAACAAATCAAAGAAAATTTCTCCCAAATTCCTTTGAAGAAGACAATAAAGATATATGATTAACAACAACAAATAGAATTTAATTATTTTACGAAGGTTGGCCTTAAATCAGAGAATACCAATCCATTTTTGCACTTGCATGATATACTAGTATGATGATACCCTGCAGCAGACAAAGCACAGTTAGACATACGGCCCTCTAAATGCTGAAAGAAGCACCTTAATATTCTTTGGGCTCAAGTAAAATCATGCTGAGGGAAACCACCAGATGACTGTCCTCTGGAAGCCTGGAACTCTTGCCTCTCCGTCCTCAGTTACATGTTTCAATTTGCATAGAGGTGGCTGCCAGTCCTTTGCTGCCTCAAAGGCCTAAGAGACAGTTCGGAGAGCATGGCTAAGATTCCAAACCCTCATTTTTATGGGGCTGATCAAACAGAGAAATATACTCCAATGACTCCAACCTACTTAAGGTAAAATGATCCACTGAAACATTTTCTCCATGAATAATACTCCCTTTGAAATCAAAGGTTCTTCCTTGTTCAAAGGAAATGAGCAGATAAGGTATCTCAGGCTTTCTAAGTTCTAAATATGACTCAAGCACAATGACTTCCACAAGGTATTTCAATGTTTGAGACCATTATTGCTGAATGTTCCCTTAAGGAGTAATTAGCCCAGACCCAAATCAAAGACAAAGTGAATGTGTGATTAAAAAAAATTTTTTTGAAATCAAAATGTCGATTCCTTTCATGTGAGGACAAGGAACAAGGAATACCCCATATGTCCAAATGAAACATTCGATGTTTCCATGCTTTAGTGTCATAAAAAGAGTGGACAAGATCAGAGAGGACTTTGAGAGCCAGGTGGAAGAGGCTGGACTTAATGCAATGGGCCAAAGGAAGGAATCCACTAAAGTAGCATGATGTTAGGACCGATAATGAAAATATTATTTTAGAAAAATGCTACGTAAAAGATGGATAGATGGGCCGGGGCAGGCGCTGAGGGCTCTGAGTTTTGTACAGCTGTTTAAATTACTGTTA